AGGTCATGTTCTATTATCTATTATTGTATCTATTGTTCTACTATTCTATCATGCCTGGAAGGGTCTCCGTAACTGGTGAGAATTTCAGGGTTCCCTGAATTCTAAGCATCCAGTTCTCTCAATGTGCTTAAATAAAAACCCTTCCTCCTCAGATCCTAGACTTGTAGAGTTGAGGCAATCTAGTCCAAGCCCCTACAATGTAGGAATCCTTTCAACCCTCCTTTTTTCCTCCTCAGACTACTTGGGAGTCCTGGCTCCCAGCCCACCTTCTCTAAACCATTATAAACCAAGTTTTGTCTCTGTGATGGAAAACCTCCCTTACGTTTGCCCCCCACCCCCGTTTTGCTTCTAAAGAACCCAGGAGTCCAAGTTCCTGCCACCTCTCCACTACCACCACCACCACCCCTTGATCTTTTCGAAGGCTTGCATTTAGTCTTGAGTAACAGCAACAGCTGAAGGAGGGGAAAGGGTAAGATGGGAGGTCTGCCGGGAGCTTTCCGACTGCAACATTTAAGAGCTGGCAGGGCGGATGGGTGCATTTTAGAGAAGCTTGAAAGGAAGAGGGCATAGAAATCTTCTGTATCTAAGTAGGAAGGAACAGGAGTCCCGGTTTTTCCTCCTAAGCAATAGCTAGAAGGAAACCTATGCGAAGAGAAGGCGGAGTGCAGGCCTCGCTTACTCTGCAAGAGACTCTGGACAGCAGGCTTGGGATCCTTCCGGGAAGCGCGGAAAAGACTAGAATATAAGAAGGAACGTAGCGATCCTTTAAGAATCTTGGTAGGAACAGGGTGGGGGAAAGGAGAGCCTATTAGATTTGGGATCGCAGGCCTGTGGGAGCAGAGGTAAAAGATTTGTTCCTCAGAGGTATTGAGCGAGGGCTGTGCAAGGATAGGGAGGGCGAGAGAGAAGGAAGGAAGGGAGAAGTAACTGTCGCAGGAATTGTGTGTGTGTGTGTGTGTGTATGTGTAAAGCATGCAGTCCGGTTCCCATTGGGAATCGGGGGGAGCAAGAAGAGCTAGATACAGCATGGAATGAAAAGAGTCATATAGTTATGAATAAAGCTGGGTCACTGGCGATTAAAGGAAAGGGGGATCTGGAGATCCTTGGGAGCGCCCGGGGGAATCCGGCTGTGCTTACCTCTCTGCAGCTGAGGACAAACTACTTGCTCGCTCCCCCGCACCTCCTCCCCCTCCCCTCCAGACCCTCCTGCTCAGAGGCCACACCCCTCGGTGGGCGGGGCCACGGCCCAAGCCGGACTCTCCCCCCTCGACAGGGGCAGCCTTCTCATGCCTCCGGGGTTTCTTTTCCTGCTTCTGCCCACCCTGACCCACGTTCCTTTGCCTCTCCGGCTTTCTTGATTGGCTGAGGGGGAAGCCTCCCAGCAGGCTCGGCAGCGTCTCGAACGCGTCGGAAAGGAAGAGAGGTTGTTGCAAGGTCTTAAAGGGGAAGTGTCGGCAGTGAAAGGAAGGAGGGGTTGCATTGGCGATGGAAGGAGAAAGCCGAATGGGAAACGTGTGTGGGGGGGTGAATAGAATATGGGTACAGGGAGAATCAGGGGCGAAAGGGGTTCCAGGAAAAATATAGGAGGCAATTATGCAGAATAATTATAGAGAAAAAGAGAGTTTAAGGACACACTGTGGGGCAAAAGGAGAAAGTCTGGTTGAAGGTGAGTGTGGGGTAATGATAGAGAAGGAGATTGTGGGATATAACAATGGAGAATTTGAGTAAAAGCACAGTAGGGTGGTTTGAGGGTTAAAGTGAGGTTGTGGTGTAATATATGGGGCTAATGACAGAATCAGGTAAAAGGAGATTATGGAATAGATGTTGGGATAATGATGGATAATCAGGGTGAAATCAGATTATGGACTAATTAACATCTTCCTCCTTCCTCCCAATTCCTTTTGTATCATGCATCTTATTATTGATCTTTGTAAGGAGCTCTGAGAGCCTGAAGTGTGCAAATGCTTCAAAGAAATGAGAGGGGGAAAGTAATTAGGGCTGCACAACTTTTGATCAATTAGGCTGAATCCTGTTTACCAGCTGTGTATGACAGCCCACTGAGGTACAGTAAACTTTGCTGCCTGCCTGAGATTGCAAAAACAGGTTATCAGTGGGAAGCAACTAAAAGGCATAAAACGAAATCTTACACTTGATCTTAGCCAAAAGGCAGTCAAGCTTGCAAAAATATACCATTTGCCAGATAATAAGTGTTGGAAATGTAAAGAAACTGAGGGAACATTCTTTCACCTTTGGTGGACGTGCCCAAAGGTCAAGGCTTTCTGGGAAATGATCTATAATGAACTGAAAAAGGTATTTAAATATACCTTCCCTAAGAAACCAGAGGCCTTCCTTTTGGGCATTGTTGGCCAAATGGTGCCAAAGAAGGACAGAACTTTCTTTATGTACGCAACAACAGCAGCAAGAATACTCATCGCAAAACACTGGAAGACACAAGATTTGCCCACTCTGGAAGAATGGCAGATGCAAGTGATAGACTACATGGAATTGGCAGAAATGACTGGCAGAATCCGAGACCTGGGAGAAGAGTTAGTGGAGGAGGACTGGAAGAAATTTAAAGACTACCTGCAAAAGCATTGCAAAATGTATGAATGTTAAAATGATGCAGGATATAAAGATAATATGGCATTAGTGACATAGTTGAAAGGAATATGTAAAAAACGTTTCAGAAGACTAAGGGTGAAACTAGAATAAATATTATGTCAAATTTAAACAAATTGATATAAAGGGAAAAATTGGAGACATAATAGTTGAAATGTATAATACAAAATAAGATTTGAAAGAGGGGGAGGCACTGCTGAATAAGATTGTGTAAAAGGGAACACAGAAAAGGGAGATGTGAGGGAGTCTGGAAGGAGGGTTAAGAAAACAATAAGTAAGAAATTGGTTTTTTTAAATCTTTTTTTTCTATGTTTATTCTTTTTTATTTTTTTGGTGTGTTCTACTGTATTTTTTTGTTTTTTGCTTGACTGTGATGGTGTTTTTTCTTTTTTTTCTTTTCTTGTTTCGACTGTGAAGTTTGTTTTACTGTTCAAAACTTTAATAAATATCTTTTTTAAAAAAATAAAACGAAATATTACAAATGGATAAAAATAGATTGCATCATTTTGTTGAAATATCTTAACCCATGAGCTAGTTTAACCTCCCAAAGCGAGACAGATGGGTCTTGCAACACTTCGGAAGTTGCTCGATCTTGGGTGTTGGCAGGACTCTGTGAACAGGGGATTTTGGATGAAGAGAGGCACCCAAAACAGTTCTGTTGGCAATCTGGCTCAATTCAAGGGACCCTTAAGGTAGCAACACTGTTTTTGGAGTAAGCCTCATTATGCTCAGCAGGATTTACAATGTAGATAGGCTATTAATTTTCTACAGTATTATCTTTCCTTTCCTTCCATTAAGGAGCTCATGGGTGCTTACCCATCCCATTTTATGACCACAACAACCGTCTGAGGTAAATTAGGATAAGGGATAGTGACTGCCTGATGTGTGCCTAGAAAAACTTAAGTGACTTGTGATTAAAAAGACACAGGGGGAAAGTGTTGGAGGTCCAACCACTGTTAAACTCAAACACACATAAAACATTTTCCTCTGAATTGGCCTGAGTCTCTTTGTGTCAGATTCGTTAGTATCTGTTATGTGTTCTCTAAATTCACTGTTCAGATTCCGGTTTAGTGAGAGCTTGTCAGAGATTTGAACAATTTACTGTTACCATGTAACGTGCTGAATTATTCCTCACTGCGATACGTAGAAAAAGGGACGGACGGAGCTACAGGGACACGTGCATAACCTCACATTGTCAATGGCACCCTTCTTGACCAATAGGATCTCATTAGGGCTTCGACCAATGAGCTTTCACGAAAGAATTCCCAGGCTGATAATGGCGCGGCCCATATAGGCCTGACACCAATCAAGGAGGCCTGTATTTGTTGGATACAGACAGTTCGCGCTTTATGAACGATAACAAAAGTACCCAATCGAACATGATAGCTGTTAAATTGACAACGAACTCGCCCAATAAGCGCTTCTGTTGAAGAGAAAGGGCTGTTGCTAATCCCTAAGTGATATCTTGCCCTTCTCAAATAGAATTTGACCTTGGCCATGAAGCATTACAACTTTTAAATCCTTTTATAATCGTTCCCGCCAATAATTGTCATAGAGATCCGCCAGTAAGTGAATGAAGGGCACTATGTGGGGATTTAAATGTGTGAGTGACTGCCAAGGCGGCCAATGGCCATTAGAGAGTCACTTTATAGGCGGTCTCTTCCTCATCTCAGCCAATCGATCCTATATTCGGTTTTTCAGGACGGCTGTCTCCTAATTCCTTAAGCCATCCGGCTTTCACTCTGTGCTGCTGGAGTTTCTCATTCAGAATGTGGATTCCTTTTCGGGATCCCGCTCTTCCTTTGTCATGTTTCCCTCGTGTTAAATTATCTGAAGCGACTGGATTTGAAAGCGAACGCTCTTATTTGATTGCCACTTAAATGAACCAATAGCTTCCACGTTTGAGAAGGTAGGACGAAGAGAAAAACCAATAGCTATGGAGAAGACGGAGGCCTTTATCTTTGAATGACGCTTAGGTACACCGATAGTTATTCGTCTATCGCTGGTAAAAACCGCCTCCCTGCTACGATTGACGGCCATTTCCCCACCTCATCTAATGGCATTTAAAGCTCATGGAGTGGAAGCAACGCCCCCAGCGCTGACGGACAACTTCCCCTCCCGCTCCTTTGGATCTTTAGCCTCTGGGAGCGCTCAGCGCGCGCGCGCGCAAACGACCGACCAAGAAGCCGCTCTGCCTCTCTGAGTTGGTCCAATGGAGATTGAGCGTCGGTTGATAGACAGCTATTCCTCCTTCTGACCGTCCGAGACCCAGTCAGCCTATGAAAATCCAGAGGCGGGCTTTACTTCCTTTCCCGCCCATGCGCCTTGAATGACAACGGCTCCGCCCAATGGGCTGCCCAGTCCCCTCCCCTCCGCTCAGCAAGGCTGGGGGAGCCAAGCCCGTGCTTCTCTCTTTCTGTGTCTCATTCACAAGATGGCGGAGGCTGCAAACTGCATCATGGAGGTGAGGGGAGTGTGGGAGGGCGGGTGGACGGGAGAAAGAAAGGCGGCGGCCGGGGGGAAAGGCCTAGTGGCAGCCCCAGCCCCCCTCTAGTACCCCATACTCCCCTTGCTCCCTGGGGGCGGGTGGAGTTGCTCACCTGAGACCCCTTTCAAGCCATTGAGCCCCCCCACTCTCTTGAAAGGCCCCACGGTGCCTCGCTGACCCGGCCCCCCAAGCGCCTCAGCCCCTCATCTCCCCCTTCCCTTCTGCCTCTGCTCATTGAATCCTGCCCTTCCTCACCTCTGGGAGCCTTTTGGTGCGCTAGAGAAGAAGCCCATCGCCCCCCTTTCCTCCTCCTGTGCTCATGGGGGGGGCTCTCCGCATGGTTTTATTCACCACTCTCACCCGCGTTAGTGAGTATCAGTCTGAAGATGGGGTGGAAATAAAGATTCAGTTGTGCGGCCCCCCCCCCCCCGAAATATGAATGATATTGAACAGGATCTCCCGTTTGGTTTTCCCTTCCTTTTCGCTCTGCATCCGTTTTCTTCCATCCCACTTACCACACCATAAAGTTATGCCCCCCCCCCACGCTTCCCTCCCCGTTGAACATGCCTGCGCTCCTCATGGTAGCCGCATGGCACGCCTTGCCCCATAGGACCCCGCCTCCTTTGGCCGGGGGGGGGAGGCCCGTGGAGCTCCGCCCCCCGCCAGCCTCCCGCGATGTATGTAGAAGAAGCCTCGTCCCCTGGAAAGTCCTTTTTGCAACACCCCCCAGCACCGCCAATTGGGAAAAAAAGCATTGTTTTCCTCGGTCCCGCCGGCGGGCTGCCTCCCTCGCAGATGCTCCTTGGCCCTCTTGGGTCGCTCTTCCCAGTTTTTCCCACCTCCCCGACCACCGCACTCCCCCCCCCCCCAGTAACACTTCTCTCCGCCCCGCTCCCCGGCCATTCGTTGCTGTAACCGAGCTCTTTGTCCAAGGAGAATCCGGCCCATTGAACTTCCAGCCCCCTTGGGATTCTTGTTAGCCCCGCAGGGCGATTGACTTGCTCTTGTAATGTAATATCCCCGCATCGTGGACCGCTGGGGTCTGCGAGCTCGTGTTAAACCCCACCGTGGACCAAAAAGGAACCCCCACATTGACTCTCATCTAACAATGGTCCCCTTTTCCCAACTGAGCAGGCCACTGCTACTTAATCAAATCCAGTTATTCCAGAAGGAAAAAGCACTCCCCCCAAAAAAACACACACACCCGAATAAATTTGCTAAACGGTCTTCCTTCCCAAACCTCTTCCCAAGCATTACCCCCAGCCTCCAACCTATCTGGGGTAGCGGCATGATCAGCCAGTCTGTTGCTTCCTGACCCCCCCCCCAAAATCTTTCCTAGTTTTCACTTAAGCACTGGATCCAAACTCCCAAGTGGCTTGTTCCCTGGCAATTCAGGGGGCTGTTGTTGATGGAGGGTTTGTCTGTGTCCTGGGAGGACACCCCTGTCATATATGGGTTAAGTGTGGGTCTGTGAAGCTGCAAGCATCTTCAGTGAAATTTGATTTTAGGAAGAGAGCGCTTATTGTGCTTTGCTTTGTTCAAGGAGTTGCCAATAAAAGAGCAGGAGTTGGAGGGAGTTTGGTAATACTGGGAAATCCAGGGGTGCGTTGGGGGGCTTCTTATGGGGTTGAAAAGGTGGTCAGGGAAAGCTCTCGGAACTTAGATAGGGCTAGGGTGAGCCTGGGGGCCTTGCATGTGGAGCTTCATTGGGGAGGAAAATAACAGGGGAAGTTTGGACAACAACCCATAGGCTTGAGAGGATGGGGTTAAGTTTGGAAGGATGGTGCTGTGATGAGGGAAAGAATGAAAGTCAGATTGGAAGTGAAAAGTAGACTGAAATGTGGGGTTGTGCAATGTTGTAAGAGGAAGCTGAATGGGACTGGAAGCGGCGAAGAATATGTGCCTGCCTTAGCAGAGAGGGGTTTCCTCAGACAGGAAATTAGTGTGTCTCCCGCCTATTTCACCATGCGGTGATCATTTGAACAAAGGAGCACTCAGTGTTGGGACAGTGGGGAACTCCCCACACAACTCCCTGCCATGTGTCCTTATTGAAAAGGGATCAAGGCCTCGCCTCCCTCACTAAGAGACAAGGAGGCAGTTTGCCTTTCGATTTGCAGAGGTCGGGTGCCCTTAAAAGCGGCCCCTCAACTACATCCCAAAACAGTTGCCACATTCATTCAAAGTTTTTCGCTGAACATAACGAAGCTTCCTGAGTCAGACCACCAGTCCATCTAGGTCAATATTGTCTACACTGGCTAGCAGCAGTTCTTCAGGGTTTCAGGCTGGGACTCTTTCCTAGTCCTTGGAGATGCTGGGGATTGAACCTTGGGTGTTCTGCATACGAGGCAGATGCTCTCAGTGAGCTACAGCCCTTTCCACTGGTGCCTGTGCCTCTGAGCCAGTGAGAAGCAATATAGTCTGGCACAGGGCAACTAGCACCAGACTAGAGCAGAGGCTCCTGCAAATGATTCCCTTGGATTGGGTTGGCAGCTTGCAGTGTAGATCCTATGCGTTTGTAGGCTTTGAAAAGAATGGACATATCTGCAATGACTATTGAGAGTAGTGAAACCGAATGGCGGGGGTGTTAAGTGGAATGGTCCTGAACAGGAGTGCTGAATGACAAGTGGCGGTCATGAATATTCCCCCCACCTCAACATCTTAAAAGAGCCCATGCAAACAGTATGCCATTCCTTTTTCATCTCCATACATGGCCATTTCTAGCCATGTCTATGCATCTTTGCCTATTAGTCCCTTGTAGAGATGTTGTCCAAAAACATCTGGATCTCATACCTGGCCCTTCATCAAGGGGAGAGTAGGAGGCAGAGGGGGAGTTATTGTTGAATTTTCTGGGATGGGCGTGTTAACAGAGCAGCTTGGCAAGGCCCTTAATAGCTTGGCATAGCAACCTCATTGGTATTTCAGGTGGGTTTTGTTTTCTATTTACGGCATGAGATTGTGGTAATCCTGTAAGAGGGCTTTTTTGGACCAGTGGCGACCTTGTTCCATGTGCTGCGGTTATAATAGTGGCTGATAATAGAGTGCATGCATTATTTGGAAGGTGGGGTGCCTGTCACTCTTCACACCATAAGAGAACCCCTACTGAGGACAACCTTCCCCTTCCTTGCATCTATCTGCCTCTGTTGCCATGGCGATCCTGAGACCCAGTACCTGGCTCCGGAAGGAGACCCAGTCTTCTTAGCCACCTGTGGCAAACTTAGCAGGAAATTCCTTTGACACACACCCCTGCCACCCTCACAGTCTAGTTTTTGGGTCCTCAACCACCTTTTTGCCACGTCTTCTGACCTCCCCTCCCCACCCCCATCGTCAATTAGACCCAGTCTCCGGCTCAGTTCCCGTTGAGCTTTGAATTGACCATATTTCCCTTGTTACTCTCTCTCTCCTAGAATTTTGTAACCACGCTGGCTAATGGGATGAGCCTGCAGACACCGCTAGAAGATGTAAATATCCTTTGAGTTCACGAGGGCTAGACTAGTGCCCAGCCCTGGGTGTGGGTGAGGCACGCTAGCCCTGGCAAAAGAAAATCTATTTTCCTTGCTATGTCGCCAGCTTGGCGGTGCATCACCCAGTCACCCCCTTCTCTACTTTGCACTTGTCCTCTGCTAGAAAAATGCCTCTGTAGTTGCTCCCATGCTTTTAAGAGGCGTAGAAGTATTGCCCTTCTTCAGAGCTGCTAGGAATAACCCATCTCATTTCCCATGAGTTGTAGATGTAGCCACATTCTGCCTCCCCCCTCTCTCCTGCCCACTTGCCACCCTCCCCCCCTTCTGCAGAATTGGTTTTTAATCCCTACCATTCTGGCTTGCTTGTGTACATCATTTGGACCACATCATTAATATATTCGCTGGTGATTTTGACTTGTTTTACTGTACCCACTCAGTCCAGAAAGCTAAGTGGCACAGGAGAGAAAAGAGTGGGGGCCCTTGACCATACATGTTTTGTGGAATGGGTGTTACTAATCCACACTGAGGCTATGGAGCCGGGTCACAGTTGTTCTATTTCAGACGGTTAAATCTGCTGATAATGCGATCTCGCGTAGTCTGGAGCCTGCTCTACTTTTGATCCAAATAATTTATATATGGCTGCAAATGAAAGAAAACGGGCAGTTTGGTATACAAATACCCGGGTTTCTGCTTTTCAGAGAGAGAACGAAAATGGAGATTGTGAGGGGGCGTTCAGGTTGAAGGTTCAGGAACCTCTTTGGGGGGAGGGGGAGTGAGAAAAAAGAGGATTTCATTGCTGGCCAGAGAGATGGAACAGCTGTGCTCAGCCTGGCTGCTTGTCTTTGCCTGTGGCTCCTACTTCCAATGCGCTAAACACCCATTGTCCCTCTAGTGTTTTCCGAGCCTTTCTTCCCGATCCACACTTTCCCAATTCTAATACAATGCCACCCCAAAATCAGGTCAAATAAATTCTGCAGCTTATTTTTGGGTTGGAACTGGGGGTGGAGGATGGGAAGGAGTTCATACTACAAATTCCCCACCCACCCACCCTCCATTCTTTCTTTTTCCTTTTTTTTTTAAATCCAAAGTGTAAAGAGGCTGGTTCATTTCCAACAGGCATGCAATGTATGCTGAGCATGCAGATACGTGGGGCAGGGCTGCATATGGACCCCTGTGGCTCTGGGGCATGGGTGAAGGAGCTGGTTGCATTTGGGAGCCTTGACTCACTGTTTCCTTAACTTTCATTGCAGCTCCTCACTCCCGGGGGCAGGTGGGGGGTAGAGCAGCTCAGGAGGTAGGCCTACACTGGGGCAGCCTGCCAGCCTTCCCCTGGGTTGGGGTGAAAATATTGGCCCTAGAGTGGAAGGGGGGTGGAATCTGGGTCCATAGGTATTGCGGAGCTAAGTAGACTGAAGTAGAGAGTCTTGCTGGATTTCTCCCAGACTTTTTCCAGTCACAAAAGTGGAATTGGTGTGCTATGGTTGACCCAAAGGGGGGAGAACCCAATGGTTTGTCACTGAGACACATACAAACCTGACACTTAAGTGCTTTCCATCCCTGCACAGAGCTGACTCCTAAAAATCCAAGGAACAGGATATTGGGGCACCGTAAAACAACAACAGGTGTATTGCGGGCAGAAGCTTTTGTGAACTGCCGCCCACTTTTGGTGCACTTGACGTGGCCTCTAGTCCGCAGGATTGCGTGCCACAATAACGTTTGCTGCCCTCCGAATATTGTTGGTCTCCCATCAGCTCTACCCCATAGGGTCAGTGGTTGAGAGCTGGGAGTCCGCATTCATCCAAAGGGCCAGAGTTTTCCCACCCCTGTTTTAGCAGATGGAATGGGAGACGCAAGTGAGTTGCTAAATTTAAGGGGGCTTACACCAATTTTATTTTGACTTAATTTTTAAAGGAATATTTTTTTGGGGGGGGAGTCAAGGAGAAAGAGTGACCCAGGTATAGAAGAGGCCATGATGGCAGACTTGCAACAGGAAGCTTCCTTATTCCAAATCAGGCCATTAGTCCTTCTAGCTAAGAACTCTCAAAGCTAACAAATGACGACTCTCCAGGGTTTCGCAGCGATGTCTTTTTTCCACCCCAGCCCAGATGCTGGGGATTGAACCTTTTTTGTGCAAAGCATGTGCTGGACCACAGAACTGCAGCTTGTCCTCATTCAGGCAGGAAGGAGAGAAACTTCCACCTGCCCTATATTTTATCTGTTCAGGAGGTTTATATCCCACCTTTCAATCTCAGTAATCCTCAAGGTGGCTTGCAACAGATTGTCTGGGGAATTTCAAACACCGGTCCACAGCATCAGCAGGCAGGACTGGGAGAGACTTCTTGGTTGAAACCTTGGAGAGCTGTTGGCAGTCACTGCAGATGATATTGGGAAAGATGGACCAATGGCCTGACTGTAGAAGGCAGGTTCCTATGTTCTCCACCCGCCCTGCAACCAAGCCTCTGTTCTTTGCTCCATGGGGGAAACTTCCTAGCGTGTCACAGCAGTCTAGCTTTGGGACTTTGGAGGCATGAATCCGATGGGGGCTTCCAGCATTTACTTCCGAAGACTGTTTTGGGGCAGGTTCAAACACCCCCACCCCCCCGCTGAGTGACATGCTTGGAAATGCAACTTGTGAATGATTTGAGGCCAGACCTTGTGCAGTCCTCTGTTCCGATCTTCTCCTGCCCCCAGTTTTGAGCAGGAGACCTCAACCATATGGAGCCTAGAGAAGTGAAAGTTAGGACTGGTACCTTGAAATCTGGTGGTTGCAGCAGCGGTGCAAAAGTGGTCATCTGCTTTCTCACCTCACATTGCCTAATGGGGGCAGGGGATGCAAATGTGGTTTTTTTAAAAGGCTAGAATTCTAGTTGACACAGCGGGAACATAAACATCCCTTTGTCTAATAATAGCTTATAATGGATTCTGTTTTCTAAATGAAGCAGTCTACTTAAAAGGATCGTGAAATATTTTAAGTTTTTCCTCAGAAGTTGTCAATTAAAAGCCAAAACCACAGAAAGTGCATCAGTGCTTCTTTTTTTTTAAAATATGGATGCAATCAAAGTTAACCAGTCCCAGCGTAATCTGAGCTAAATGAGCTCTTTATCCAAGAATAGGCTTTGGTAATCTCTCAAGACAGGGCTAATCCACTGCGAGCACACACGCAAAATAGACCTGTGTGATCTTGATACGGGCCGGGAAGTAGTTTTGGTAATTTGCCCCCAAATTCAAATAATTCTGGTATGCTTTAGGCTTGATATTTGGCCCCATTCTAAAGCCTGTCAGCAACACTGAGAACCCAGGACACATGGAAGTGTGAGGGTGTGCTACATATGGAAATAAGATAATTAAGCTTTCATTACCCTAATGACTTAATGTTGAGGTGGAGCTGGAAAGGAGAGCCATGTAATTTCCATTGCAGGCAGAATGATGGGCTGTAAGTCAGAACTTCACTTTGACAGAGAGCCGCTATTGGCATTTAGTTTTACATGGGGCTACTATCCCAATAGGAGTATTGCAGTGCCATCAGTGTACACAATAGGTTTTCCATATTTTTCTAAGCAAAACCGAGATACCTAAAGCACCCTTGATCCCTTCCTGAAGGAGCTTATCTACATCCTAGTAATTGGGGTGAAAACAGAAGAGCAAAAGGTTAAGGGATCAGAGTGGCATGGGCCATTGGTCATTTGTGGGGCACATGCATTTTGTATTTAAGGTTTGAGGTTCAGTCTCTGAATTGTGTCAGAATTTCTGGTGGTTGGTGGATGGGCCTGAGACTGCCTAAGGAGCTGCTGTCCTCTACATTAGAGCCCTGTCTTACATATTTGTTGGGCATTTGTGGCTCATTTCAGTAAAATACTATATCAGGATTTAGACCCTGCACAGATACAAAGTTGACTCCCCGTCGTTGGTGTAGCATAGGATATGCACCCTAATTCAGCAATTGAATAGAGATCAATTCACTGCTGTTGCTAACCTCCAGCTAGGCGGTTTCAACTACAGTGTCCCCAATAGCCTTCTTGGCAGGGTCAGATTGGTCCCAGGGGTTGCCAGTTGCTGACCCTACAGCTTGCAAATTCAGGCTTATAAAAGTCAGTTGTAGTAAATGTGTCTGCAAGTAAGCTGTTAAGTGCTAGTCTCCCCCCCCCCCCTTGCTTTTTAGGATACAAATGATTAGTACATGTGGGCTGGTACTCATATGGGTTTGGGGTGAGATGTTACTTCTGAAGACTATATCACTTGGCTCTTAGAATAAAGGAACTGTCGCATAATTGGAATATATAGCTTATGGGGAAGAGAGGAAAACCAGTCGCAGATATTTCCAAAAGGCTCTGTTGGTCCCTTGGGGGGAAAAACCCCCAATGTATTCATCCTTCAAAAACGGGATTACTTTTGCAGATGTGATGATTAGAAACAATTGACACTATAAAGCAGTTGGTTTATCAATACTGCTACCAAAGGCAGTCACCCAACTGAAGAAATTTTAATTGAGTGATTGGTTAAATTGGCATAGGTGTGCAAATGAATTAAAGGAATAGTCTCAAAGGGAAAAAAGGCCTATTTCTTTTCAGCTCATTCATGCATGTTTGTTGCCTCTTCTGAGAAGATGCTGGCTGCATTCCTCCTCCTACATATAGGCCGTAATGCCTGTTGAGACAGCACTTGCCAGTCTGAATTTTTATAAGTAGTTGTACTGACTTTTTTTAAAAAGAAAAAAATGCCCAATTCAGTCAGTGTCATCTTTACAGTAAAATGTTTTGAAATTATCCAACCAGTTAATTGATCCAGCGAGTTAATTGACTATAAACATTGTAACCCTGCCCAAATCAATCAGGGGCACCTTTATTGTAAAATGTTTTGAATTTATCCAACCTGTTAATTAACTATAAACATTGCAACCCTGCTGCCAGCTGAAGAATCTTAAGACAAAAAGAATGAAAGCTGATGGGAATGATGAAGAGGTTGGGGTGGGGGGACAGGGACTTGTTATATTGAGAGATCCTGCCTGCATGGGCCTGTTCCGCCTTAACTGCCTCTTGTCTTTCACCAGGTCTCGTGCACCCAGCCAGAAAGCAGCGGCAAGCCAACGGCGGAGGAGATGACCTCCAAGGATTACTATTTTGATTCTTACGCCCACTTCGGGATCCACGAGGTGACAGAGAGTTGGCTGGGGCATGGGTTACAAAGCACCTCCTTGGCGCAGGGACCCATTCCTGCCGGTCCAAGGGGTGCGTTGGTGTAGATGGATTTTGTGAAAGTTGACTGATGTGCCTTCCTGCCCCCAGGAAATGCTGAAAGATGAGGTGCGCACGCTGACCTACAGAAACTCCATGTTTCACAACCGGCACCTCTTCAAAGACAAAGTGGTCCTAGATGTTGGCAGCGGGACCGGAATCCTCTGCATGTTCGCAGCCAAGGCTGGTGCCAAGCGGGTCATTGGGGTGAGTGAAGCAGCCAGTGGCTGGCTGGTCCCTTTGCTTTCGTGAGGGGTGGTAATCATAAAAACATAAGCACTGGTAGGTTCTATAAAATCTGTTGTGGTGCTATGTGGAGTGAGCATACGGGTCTGGAATTTTGTAGGGAAGGAACTATATTCTCCAGCCAGAAAACCAAATTCTGTTGTGGGGACCAGTCATGCCTATTAAGAGTGTGTTTGTGTTGCCAGCCTGACTGTTTCAGAATTTGGGAATGTGGGACAAGGTAGCAGGACCTCAGGAGAAAGCTGATGTTGGAGGAGAGACTGGACGTTCCTGCCCTTTTGTTTGCTATGTCTTGCTGCACAGCCATGAGGACTAGAAACATTATTTACCTCTTTAGTTTGCAGTAAAACCTGGCCCCAAAGAGTGTTGAGGTCATGATGTACTGAATTGAAGCAACATTTAGTGGAGGGTAGAGGCCATGAATAAGATTCTTTCCTGGGTGAGCGAGGCAAGAAGGGAGAACTATTTTTACTTTTTGTGTGCTGTACGAACATATGTGAATATCCTTTCTCTCTTTTTGGTACTACGCTCTTAACAGATTGAATGCTCCAGTATCTCTGACTATGCTGTCAAAATTGTCAAAGCCAACAAACTCGATCATGGTGAGCTAATTTTGTTTTACATTCTCCCTTGCCCTTTAAACATCTGCAATATCATGCACCTATATCAACCTGTTTGCTGCTGCCTGTCTCTTCCTTCCTTCAAATCAATTGTCGAAACCTCCATCATCTTGTAGTCCTTCTCCCCGACTAAAGCTAAGCATGAATACAAGGAACTGAATTTTAACGCACACCCTTTCCCCCTGCCTTACTTTGCTTCTACTGTACCTTCCTCATCTGTGCTGAATGCTAGGCTGTAAGCTCCATCGGGCAGAGATCCGTTGCTGTTGTAACTCTCCCAGGCACTTTGTGTGTTAATTCTTTGCTTGGGGAGCGTCATATTCTTGCAAGAGCCCCCGTTTAACATCTATTGACCAACATCTGTTAATATGAGGAAATCCCATTGCTGCAGCTGGCTTGCACCTCCTTCCAGTACAGCCCTTACATGCTTGTTATGTTTCTCTGGTGAAGTGGTGTCCATCATCAAGGGCAAAGTGGAGGAGGTGGAGCTGCCCGTGGAGAAGGTGGACATCATCATCAGTGAGTGGATGGGCTACTGCCTCTTCTACGAGTCCATGCTCAACACTGTCATCTACGCCCGGGACAAGTGGCTGGTGAGTCTCTGTCCTTCCCTGTTGCTGTGTCTGCAATTCCTGGGCCCATACTCACACTTTCAAATCTCCTGATGTGCTGATAACTGAGTACACCAGCATCTTCCCCCCTGCAACCTTAGACACGTAGGGGCAGAACGGTTTCTGTTGCTCAGAGCAGTTGAGATAGTCAGCTCCTCCAAGCTGTTGCCCACCAAATATTTTGGAGGTTGTGGTCCAAAACATGTGGAGGGTGCAAATTTGGGACGGCTGTTTATTAATATCCCAGGTTCACAAATCTGATCAGCTGGACAAACACCAGTAACCAGACTTTCAATATGGTGTCATCTCCTTTGACAATGGGACTGTCATGCCTTGTGCAGCTTCCCAGGTCCTCTGTTTTGGAGCCAAGAGCTGTTCCTTGTGGGGACTCTGCTTCACAGAGGGCAGGTTTTGTCACTGGCCCTCAGTCATAAGAGCAACCAGGTACTGAATTAGACTATGTTCCCTAGTTAGAAGGGCAGTATGCTCAAACAGCTTTTAAGAATGAGAGGAAACGAAACCACATCAAGGGGCAAAATGGCCCCAGTGGGGATTTAGAGCCACTTCCTATTGGGATGGTCTGAGGTGTGGAAACACATTTGGGACACATTCTTCCATGGTAGCTCTAGAAGCAAGTTGTGTATGTGTGAATAGTGCATGGTACTGCCCCAGTCTAGGATCAGCCCTCAGGAAGGCCATAGGAAAAGTTAAACTTTAAGTTCTATACTGTAATAACTTGGAGTGTGAATGTGTGACTTGAAGCTTAGCAGCAAAGCATGACTTTTAATTATAGTTGCATTTTTCTAACAGCTGCTTGAAGTCTAAAGCTCTGCAGTATGTAAATTGAATCCAGGCCACTTTGCCATAATTCAAGTCAGGATGGTGCTTGGATTGAAGCTCACACACATTCATCTAGTAGTTAAGCACAAGGAATCAGTTTCTCTCGGCAGGGAAAAATTATGGGTACTATAGGGCTGAAGTGAGTTGTAACAACTTCCTTCACTTATTTCTTTTTTGTCCCAGACCCCCGATGGACTCATATTTCCAGACCGTGCTACACTGTACATCACAGCTATTGAAGACCGGCAGTACAAAGATTACAAGATCCACTGTAAGTATCAGGCAGCACCACAGTGGTTTGCAGGGAACAAGGCCAGGCTCAAGAGCTCCCCTTACAAAGAAGACAAGGGTGACAAGTGCAGGTGTCGGTGGCTGGGTGCTATAACTGAAGGCAAACTGTACAGTGGTGCCCCGCAAGACGAACGCCTCGCAAGACGGAAAACCCGCTAGACGAAAGGGTTTTCCGTTTTGGAGGTGCTTCGCAAAACGAATTTCCCTATGGGCTTGCTTCGCAAGACGACAGCCCATAGGGAAATCTCCGGGACAGCGGGGAAGCGCAGCGCGTCTTCCCCACTGTCCTCGGACCTCCTCCGAAGCCGGGCGGCGGGGCGGGAAAACCTTCCGAAGCCGGGCGGCGGGGAGGGAACGCCTCCCCCCGCCGCCCGGCTTCGGAACGATGCTCCGAAGCCGGGCGGCGGGGCGGGAACACCTTCTGAAGGCCGGCGGGGGGCAAAAGTCTTTGTTCCCCCCTGCCTGCCTTCCCGGGAGAGCGGAGAAACGCAGCGCGTTTCTCCGCTGTCCCGGACGGCTTTTGAAGGCAGGCGGGGGGGAGCAAAGACTTTCGCCCCCCGCCCACCTTCAGAAGAGGTCCTGGACCTCTTCTGAAGGCGGGCGGGGGGCAAAAGTCTTTGTCCCCCCTGCCTGCCTTCCCAGGGGCTTTTAAATTGCCCCGGACAGCGGAGAAGTCCTCCGCTGTCCCGGGGCGATTTTAAAATGCTGGGGGTGGGAAGAAAAGCCCTTGTGTCCCCCCCCCCAGCCTTCAGAAGAGGTCGGGGGACAGACTGTCCCCGGACCTGGTCTGAAGGCGGTTTCCATAGGAACGCATTAATTGATTTTCAATGCATTCCTATGGGAAACCATGCATCGCAAGACGAAAAACTTGCAAGACGAAGAGACTTGCGGAACGAATTAATTTCGTCTTGCGAGGCACCACTGTACCTTCTAGTTTGGTTTGGAGCAAGTATTTCTCTCCGCTTGTAAGGTGGCCCAGCCCAGTGGCTTTCAAACAGTCCTCCGGGGATTGGTAGGTTCTCCAAGAGAAGATAAATAATGGGAAACAAGCTTGCCCAAAAGGCAGCAAGTTCAAAGCTATGGCTTCCTGCGCCCTGGGGTACATTCCACAGCAGCATAGGGGAGTGGAGTATGTTCTTGGGTCAACCCTTGGTTATCCAGGGGTGCCACCAGGCCTATTGGGCCCCAGTCAGCAGTTTGTCTGCGCACTCACAAACTTGTCCTAGCACCTTCTGCAATGTCCAGGGGTTCTGCGGTGAGAAGCAGGGTGGGGGGTGCTAGAGATATGTCTTACAAAATAGCTCCCTGAAGGTTCACAGTTTTAAAACACTTAAACTAGCCATGGGTGGGGAGTTTGGTCTGTTTCTCAATGCTGTGCCCCTCTGTGTGGTCGATTGTTATGGCCTTCCAGGATCTGACTTCACCTCCAACCTGTGTCTCTTGCCGCAGGGTGGGAGAATGTCTATGGCTTTGACATGTCCTGCATCAAAGACGTGGCGATCAAGGAGCCCCTGGTGGATGTTGTTGACCCGAAGCAATTGGTCACCAATGCTTGCCTCATCAAGGTACAGTGTCACAGCCCCGAGCTAGGGCTAAGCTGCTGGGAGTTTGTGAGATGCAGGAGTTTTCAGGAAGAGTGCCAAATGCCAGAGTGAGCGGTCTGTCAGGTCCCCTTGCCCTTACAGACATGGGACAGATGCTACAGCAAGTAGGCTCCACAGCAAGGAGAGGGCTTGTCCGCTGGGAGACTGTCCACACCCAGCCCCAAATGCATACATTCTTTAAACACTATGGCAGATGACGTCAGCCACCTGACCAGGGCTGCAGGTAGCAGATACCCAAGACAATACAAAGTTCCTCTTCTGGGCTTTTGAGCCCAGCATCCCAGTTCATTCAGATAAGGGCACCATGAAAGTTAAGCCAATTAGTGGATCAAAGCAGGCATATATAAACATACACGAGCTCCTTGAAGGTTCATTTTGAGTGCCAAGATGGCATTACAGCTTCCGGAGCAGTTCGCCTCTGGTACCACACAATGAGACATGTTGCCCTTCTGCCCAGGGACCTCCATGGCTGCTGCTGAGAACCAAGTCTCCTGTGAAAGGCAGTTTGTCCACTGGTTATGCTCTTGTTTCCAGGCCAATGTGCTTTTCTAGAGGGCATAATGCACAACAAAAGGAACCTGAAGGTTTTGGGTGCTTCACTTCCTCCCCTTATTGCCTGTGTTGCTGCTGCCTCTTCAAAACTATTCACGGCTCACTAGGTGGAATGAAACTCTGGCTTTCATAACTTCAGATGGATAAGCACGGAGCAATGGTGATATGCAAAACTTTAGGGGAAACATGGTGCCAGTCCATGGGATTTGCAGTCCACATCTGGATAAGTGGGAGGGCAGATGTGAGTGTTTAGCTGCGGTGTGTGGCACTGCAGGCTGTTTTTGCCTGCCGTTGCTGTCAGTAGTTCAGCTTTCCTGCTCGCTCCTTTTTTTGGCAGAGCACCTGCACTCACCCTCATTGTGACACAACTGCTCTGGACTGTATTAGTTTATTGTTACGCATGTGGAGCAGATGGCCCACTAATGGAGTCTGCAGGCAAGAGGTTGCAGCCTTGTTGTTCTGGTGGGAAGAGATGGATGGAGAAACAGCACCACAAAAGGAATTGACAGCAAAATGTTGCAGAGCCTGTCTTGTAAGGCTGTTGGAGGCCAGTGAGAAAGGCCTCTCCTCAGAGGAGTGGGAGAGAATCTGTCAAGCCTCTCACAGCCAGCTCAAAGGCCAGAGCTGACCAAACACAAATAAACAACGAGTAAAGTGCAGTTTAATGTCTGTATTTCCGCTTGCTTCAAAATTCCCCAATATGATGGACCTTCCCCTTTGTTTATAGATGGCCCTGATTTGATTGGCGCAGGGGCACAGAAGTTTGCTTCTTAAACGGAATGATTAGCTTTTAATTTGTAGTGTTGGGTTAGTAAAGGGTGAGAATTATTTAGTATGTTCTTGACCTCATTTCTTGCTGCTTCTCATGCCTTCTCTTTATTTTCTTTCTCTCCTCCTCACCCACGGTTGGCAGGAGGTGGATATCTACACGGTGAAGGTGGAAGATCTCACCTTCACATCACCCTTCTGCCTCCAAGTGAAGCGCAATGACTACATCCATGCCCTGGTCGCCTATTTCAACATAGAGTTCACTCGTTGCCACAAGCGCACTGGATTCTCCACCAGTAAGGGGCACGACCTTGGCTTGAGGGGTTAACAGGGGAGTGGGCGGGCTGGTAGTTTGGTTCTGCCTTCCCGAGTATACTTGAAGCAGGGTGGGACTTGGTGGCTGCATCTTAATGGGCAGTAGAACTTTTGGCTTTCTAAAAATCTGCTTTTAAGAACTAGCTGGTTAACAAAACTACTTTTAGCCTGTACTTCTGGGAAGAATGTGCTGTTGCTGGCAAGCAAGGCGCTCAGTTGAAGCCAGGAGCTAGTAGTTTATGAGGCTGGGCTTTCCTCCCAGCCTAGAAATTCTTGTAGCTTTTGCCAAGTGGGAGCTTATAAAGCGCAGTTGGGGGAAGCTTGAAGGCAAGGAGGGAAGGTTCAGTTCTTTTGGAACAGAAGTACCTGAGCTAAGAGTAAAGCTAAAAGTATACTAAACCCAAGCAAACTATAGGGGACACTATGTGTAGGGCCTGTGTCTCTTTCCCTATGTCTGTTCTATCTCCCCACCCTGCACCCTCCGGCACACTGACCTCACATGGCTGTTGCTCCCCAGGTCCCGAATCTCCCTACACCCATTGGAAGCAGACAGTCTTTTACATGGAGGACTACCTAACAGTGAAGACGGGAGAGGAGATATTTGGCACCATTGGCATGAAGCCGAACGCCAAGAACAATGTGAGTCGAGGACTTTGGTTCTTAACCCTATATATGCCCCTGGAAACACTGGCAGCATCACTTCCTCTAATGGCAAACAAGGGGGGTGAGCCGGAAACAAAGCCCAAATGGGGGCCACTGAGAAATAAGAGGGGGAGAAGTAACTGCGTGTTGGTTTGCAAAATACTTTAAGGAAACGAAGCAAAAAAATTATTAGGGAGGGCTGGGGAGGGAGGAAACTCCAGAAACCAGTCCAGTGCAGGCTGAGTTAGCGATGGAGTGGGGAAGGTCAGTTGGAAAAGGAGTAACAAAAAACCTGAGGGTGGGAAGTAGAATGGTTGGCTGGAGGAGGAGCATGGCTTGAGCCTGGATAGGAAAAGGAGCCACTCCATTTAGGCGGGTGAGGATTCATGGCAATATTTTGAGGTTGGTCCCACTTGTTCAGTTAAAAATCAACCCCAGCTGTGTGTGTGTGTGTGTGTGTGTGTGTGTGTGTGTGTGTGTACACGTGCGCATCCACGTATATACATGCATGCACACACAGGGAAATGCACCACATAACTTGTCAAGAGTTGTTTTGTCTTGTTATTTGGTAACAGCCACTGTGTTGAGACAATACCCTTTGTACCACAGGCAGTGACCCATTTGTGCAGGGGTTCCATCGCTGGCCCCCATGTGCATCGGCGAAGCGTACCTAAGTCCATCCTGCCCCATTTTGCCCTCTTCCAGGTCCAAAATGACCCACGTGTTGGCGGTTGTGCAACAGTTGAACTTGCAGAAAATGGCCGCCTCCTGTAATTGCACACTGTTAAAAGAACAGAAATGTATTCAGTGATGCAGAGGTAGTAAAGGGAAGGCTCAAGTTGCAAACAGACACTTCTGTATCTTCCTCTTAAGTCCCTGTATATATAGGTACTCTCTCTCACTCTCACTCCTTCCGTGTGTGTGTGTGAGAGAGAGAGAGAGAGGGGGGGGATTTCAAGGACTTTAAAAGTGCATTAAACTGAAGTAACTGGTGAATTGACTATATTTGATAGGAGAGAATATGTCCTTAATCTGGGCCAGCCCTTTATTACCCCAGCATTTTTATGACTCACAAGGACTGGGTGGCTGCCAAGCCTAGGAATTCTGTTGCTTCCCGGCATAATCCGGGCTGGAAGTTGATCTCAATAAATCTCTCCATGGGAGCCTCTGCCAGTGGACTTTCTCCCTCCCTCATTTATGTGTCTGCCCATGCTGCTTAAACAGTCTAGCTCCCTCTCCCCAGCCCTGTCTCTTCCTTCTCAACTCAGTTTTAAATTCCTTCAGTCGCACAAAGCTTGAATAAGATAAACACAAGTGAACGTTTTAGAACTTTGACAAACTAGCGTTTACAATTTTGAGGAGGCGTTAGTATTTTGTGTTTATACTACTACTCAATGAATAACAATAGATTCTCAGTCATAGGGAAGAAACTGTTCCATCAGAAACACACAGAGAGCACGTGGCTGAGTCGCCCATCATGGGAAGCCTGAGTGAAGGCCTTTTTTAAACAGGCGAGGTGCCTGTGCCCTTAGAGATGTTGTTCGACTCCAACAACCATCGGTCCCAGTTAGCATGGCAAATGGTCAGGGATTATGGGAGTTGAGGTCCAGTGACATCTGGAAGGTTATAGGTTCCCACCCCTCATCCAAAACGAAGCATTGAGGATGCTCGCTTAATATTGCTAAAGGCCCTGCTCCTAGTGGGCACCATGAATCATCATTCAAAATGCTTCTCTGGTTGGTCAGCGAGACACACGGAGTAAGCTTGCCCTAAGTTGCTTAGGTAAAGGTAAAGGGACCCCTGACCATTAGGTCCAGTCGTGGCCAACTCTGGGGTTGCGGCGCTCATCTCGCTTTATTGGCCGAGGGAGCCGGCGTACAGCTTCTGGGTCATGTGGCCAGCATGACTAAGCTGCCTCTGGCAAACCAGAGCAGCGCACAGAAATGCCGTTTACCTTCCCGCTGGAGCGGTACCTATTTATCTACTTGCACTTTGACGTGCTTTCGAACTGCTAGGTTGGCAGGAGCAGGGACCGAGCAACAGGAGCTCACCCCATCGCGGGATTCGAACCGCCGACCTTCTGATCGGCAAGTCCTAGGCTCTGTGGTTTAACCCACAGTGCCACCCGTGTCCCTTTAAGTTGCTTAGGGCTCTGAATAATGAAAGAGGCCTTTAAATTTGGCACATTGGCAGCAATGCAGTTCTTCCATGCCTGGGCCACTCTGGCCAGCTCACCCAGTCTGGGCCATAGTTGCTCATTGACTTCAGAAAGTCACATTCTTCCCAGCCAACTCTGCATTCAGCTCTCTAACCTTTCCTTTTTGAGGCATTTGGTGCAGGAAACCATCCAGTAGGGCTGGGCGACATCTGGTTTTCAACATTGTGATATATCGCCAGCTAAACATCATGATATACTGATATATCACAATATCTGAAATAAGGATGGAGCTTAGTAGAGGCATTTGCTGGCTTCACAGTTTTCCCCGCATTGTGATTTTTGCATAGCGCACGCACGCACGCACACACACACACACACATGGTTCGCAATATATTGCCAGGCCAAAAATTATGAAAGCGGTATTACAATATGGACTTCAAACTGGTTTTGGACGATACATCACCCAGCCCTACCATCCCGTGGCATCAAGAGACGGGTGCAGTATTGGGGGGGGAATGGGGCAAGGAAGTGGCACGCAGGGTTGTTGAGAGGTTCCAAAGTTTGGGCACACATGCTTTCAATGTGGTTGTGAGTGCTCCATTTGTATGACCTGGTAAACACATCTTTTGTGGCCGGGGAGCACCCTCAGGTGTTGAGATGTTGAAAGGAGTTAGCTACGTTTCCAGCACTGTACTTAGGAGGTAAAGAGGGCAAGCCATGCCCTGGGAGCACAGAGGTTATATGAGGTTTGTTCCAAGGGAGTGTATTTTGGAAAAAAACCACTTTGTGACAAACACACCCCTTTCCTTTCTTTCCTCCCATGTGCAGCGAGACCTGGACTTCACCATCGACCTGGACTTCAAGGGCCAGTTGTGTGAGCTGTCTTGCTCAACGGATTACCGGATGCGTTAGCCCAGCCACCCCTTGCCAGATTTTTTTTTCTCCTCCTCCTCCTCCTCCTCCAACTGACCTTGCAACCCAGAGCTAACCCTCCCTGTCGTCCTGTTTAAGTTGGTGTCTCACTAATTCATTTCATTGTGTAGTTCCTTGTTGCTGCGACTCTGGGCCAGCAAGGGGAGGGTCAGTATTAGAGGCTAGGGGGAAATAGCCAAGACCCCCCCCTCAATCCTGTTGCCCCTCATTTTCAAATCTCCTTCCCCACCCGCAACCAACCTCCCCTCCTCCAGGCCAGGAGCCAAGGCTGTTAGCACAACTGAAGACACAGGTGGTTTGTCCATCCGTCCGTTTGTTCTGAGGCCCGAGTGCCGACAGCAGACTTCCATCATGAATTTCTTTTTTAAAAATAATATTTTTTTTTTGGTTAGTTAAATCATTGTTGGTATCACCTGCCAAACTGTGTTGCCCAGGATCCTCGTCCCTCCTCTTGCCCTGTTTTCTGGAGTAACTGCTCCTGACACTATCCTCTGCTCCAGTGTAAACGCTGCTCAGTTTTTTTTGAAGGGTACACACTTCTATCCTGTGCCCAAATGGGGGTGGGAGAGGGGGTTCCCAACAGGTTTTTATCAAGAGGGCACGTGGAGGGGTGTGGGTGGAAAAGGCATCTCCATTTTGTGAGTGTTTTTTCCCCCACTGACGGTTTTGTACTCCCCCCCCCCTTTAACAATTCCCTGTTCGGATCTGTGGGAGGGAGTTGTGTGGGGTTTTTCTTTTTCTTTTTTAAATCCCTTGCCCCTTCGAAATCTGACATCGTGTGACTGTTTCATAACTTATGGTTTTTATATGGTTACATTCATGAGGGAAAAAATAATAATAAAGAAGTTGAAACCACCTCTTCTTTTACTTAAACATATTGCTTGCCTGCCTGCCTGATGGCCTTAGGGTTGCATTTAGAGAGGGGCCCTTTCCTTGGGCCCAGCCTCACTGCTTGTCCCCCCCCCAAAAAAAAACACCCAACAAACGTCTGAACAGAAGTACAATGTAAGGTGTAGGACTCTCAAACCAGCTGTTGAACCTCACAAGGCAGAACTTACAGCTATAAACACAAAAATGAGGTTATTGAGGAAGACATGCTTTTGTTCCATAACACTGTGGCTTCGGACTAGTTACAGATACAGTGGTGTTCTCTACAGAGCCATCCCAAGACATGTTACTGGAGATGGAGAACAAGGCCCCTTGTTCCCACTGCCAGGTACCGAGGCCAATGGGACCGGCAAGTGGATTGTTCTCGGACCCAATTGCACCAGCAGTGTCTTCAGATTCTTGTTACAAATCCTGTTTTAAGTGGGGAGCCTAGATTATCAAGAAGGTTAACGGCATGCCCAGCTATTCCTTGATTTTAAGATGGAGGGGAAGAATTTGGATCAGGTGACGAATGCTGAGCCTGTGGTTGGGAGCCGGCAATGCACCTTGGATGCAGGGACCAAAACTCGCAGTTTAAAGTGCCAGAAGAGCTGGACACAGGAATGTCTCCCTCACCTCAAATTCACAAAAGGACAGTACCTTTATTAGGCCCATCAAAAGATCACAAAATAGTGTGCACACTGCTGGGAATGGTTGGTGTGAGGAAGGTATTGACAAAACCAGATTTTCTTATGACCAATGTAGGCACATGGTTTTTCGTTCTATGGGTCTCACACTGGTCTTTACTCTGCTTTGGCAGGGGTGTGAAGGAGGCTGAACAGAAGGGGCCGTGGAGACTTCCCTAGGGTATAATTTTGATCAAAGCTGTTAAGGAGTGCTTTCCAGAGATCTGCTTCTCTAAGTGAAACATCACTGAGGTGATGCTGAACCATGCTGTCTTCCCCTTTTTGAGGAAGGCAGTTCCAGCTGCAAAGAAGGCTGTAATTTGGACCTGGAGGGAATTGTGAACTGGCAGGTGCCTTCATATCTTAGTGCTAGAGTGCTTCTTCCAGGAGGTACCTGGCATCCCCAAGTACAGGGCCGGGAAGGACTCTCTGAGAACCATGGCCAGTCCGTGTGGACAGTACAGCACTAGATATTGCCAATGGTTTGACTTTGTATAAGGGAACTTCTTGCACTCATAATTTGCATGCAGGAGGTACCACATTTATTCTCTGGCATTTCAAGGTAAAATGATTAGCTAAGCAAGACAATGCTTAGACCTCTGCCTGTAACAAAGTCTAGCCTAATCTAGCTTCCTGTTTTTGAGTCTAGTAAAGGTAGACTGGGCCTATCCTTAACTCTGGTGCCTAGGCAGGTTCAAAAACAAGCTGCATTGGCCTCAGTCTGCAAGGCAACAGGTGAAATTGCCACAACTTTCAGCCCATCACCGGCAGAGCCGCCATCCTTGGTGCTCCCCCCACTTGTGTGGAAGCCAGTGCCAGGCTGGGGGATCCTTTAACTGCTCAGAGGGGAGCAGCAACTGCACACTCAGCTGAGCAAAAGATGCAGAGGGAGGAACAAGCTGTATCAGCGCTGATGCAGATTTTTTCTCTGTGCACTATGAGGGCAGAATGGGATAATTGTTTCACAAACACTCGCTGGAGGAAGTCGCTAGTAAAGGGACTCGGAAGCGGCTGTTTCACCAACTTGGTGAACGAGACATCGCAGTCTGCTCCTCATACTGCTCCTGGATGATATATTAATATTAATATATCGCCCAGGCCTAGAACAAGCCTCAGAACTCTGGCGGCATCAGCAGTTTCAGTGGTATTTTGCTTTTGTGCATCATTGAATCTGGAAACCTGAATGACACATGAAGCCCTTGCTCCTAGAGATTCTAACCTAAACAATTGGCTTTGGTGGTCTTGAGCATGGGTAGGCAAACTAAGGCCTGGGGGCCAGATGTGGCCCAATCGCCTTCTCAATCCGGCCCACAGACGGTCCAGGAATCAGTGTGTTTTTACATGACTAGAATGTGTGCTTTTATTTAAAATGCATCTCTGGGTTATTTATAGGGCATAGGAATTTGTTCGTTTTCTTTTTTCCTTCAAAATATAGTCCGGCCCCCCACAAGGTCTGAGGGACAATGGACCGGCCCCCTGCTGAAAAAGGTTGCTGACCCCTGGTCTTGAGCTTAATTTCTGCACCACTAAAAGCGGATTCTGAAAGCTCTGGAAGGTTTATGTGTGGCCATGCTAATTTATATAAATGGACGTTTTACCTGTGCCTACTTCCAGTACTAATTCCTGTTCAATAGGCACCGCTTATCTAACTAGGCTTCAGCTAGTCTGGTGGTTGCCAACCATTGTGGACCAGTGGGCAGCAGTCACAAAATAGTTATGGGGAGAACACAAAATGGCTGCCACATTTAAGAGACGGGAACAAAATGGAGGCGAGGGCCGGTGCCCAGTTCTTGCAGCCAACGAAACGCAGGCAAAGGAAAGGCCATGTCGGTGCAAACACAAACTGAGCAGGAACAGCAAACAGCTTCTTGTGTCGGTTTTTGAGGGGATATTCACTGATCCCTTTTGCAGGTGTTGTAACAGGTACTCGCAGGCACACTGGCAGCCTTGGCTGTCACACCGGCAAGTTCTGAGCTACCACCTGCCCTAAAGTGCGGTCCATACATTCAAGAGACCAAAATTTGTTTGAGATTTGGTGGCGTCAAAGCCAATTTCCTTGAAGGTGGTAGCTGGGTCCCTGCTAATCCTTTAGTTAGCATGCGTGAAGTCCAATGAAATCAGTTATGTGCCATACATCCATAATTCTGTGAAATCAACATGGGTTCACAGTAGCCACAGTTTGCATGTATGTTTAAATAAACTATATATCCTAAAGACACCACAGACTGCTGTGCCTCTCCGAAAAAGGAACACAGACCCTGGGTAAAGCATCTGTAACCCCTTGAACAGCACAAGAAGATTGGGGTTGTGTGTAATATGTTCCTGGGGCCTGTAAATCTTGGCTCCTGTAATCTCTGGGGCCTTCTTGTTTTTAAGGAAAATGGTGCTGCTCTCTTCCCCATCTTGCTGCCATACCCTGTTTGCTTTTGCAGGAACTGAGGAACTCTGGGACCCATGGCTCTTGGAAGGGCGTGTCTCCTGAAATCATTCTCTCTCTGTTCTGTTGGAAAGCCTGCTTCAATAATTCACTGTTCAGAGTACTGTCTGCTCTGATTTAACACTAGTTCTGATCAAATCTCACAAGATTGTTCTAAAAACCTGGGCTAGCCTATATGCAGGGAAACAAGGCTGCATAAACCGCTCCAAACACAATGAAGTATGTTTCTCCTTTCATTCAGAATAAAAATCCTGAGGAAGGCAGCATTGAAGACAAAATCAAAAGCAACAGTAAAATCTACTCTACAAGCATATTCCAGAAAATACCAAAGATCATTTTGCTCAACCCCACCCCACCCCAAAAACCCCACCGAAAACAACACAAGAGTAAATTTGTGTGTATCATTCTTTTGGGAACACAGTGCATGTGCTCCTATGCACCATGCTCCTTATTGCACATCACTGAATGAGACAGAATCCTTCCATTGCACAACAGCACCCTCCAGTGGGAGGTGCCTGGTTTGGATACAATCTGAAGACAGGCTATCTATCTATCTATCTATCTATCTATCTATCTATCTATCTATCTATCTATCATCTATCCACCGGGGGGCGGTGCCTTCCAGCCTCATTGTGGCTCTGTTCCAGGGTGCCAACGCTACTACTTCTCCAGGGGCGCATAGTTCAGCAACTTTTCAATCAAATCCACGTGTGACAGGAGCATCCTCCGACAGCAGTAGCGCTTCAGGCCAAGGGCGTCCAACGCATCCCTGAGAGAGGGAACGGAAAAATGAGTGGGTGGTCTCAAGATTTTCTCTCTCTCCCTTTCTCTTTCTCCTGACTCGGATTGCCAACCTTTCTGCGGCCCTCTGCTCCTGTGCCTTTCATCAGCGGCCTGCTCTACACTGGAGACACAGACAAACATCCATGTCCTGTGTACTGAGTTAGCCAGTTTTATCCAATTTATGCCGCAATCAGAGGGCAGCAGCCCTGTATAAGGAAATGTGTAATGTTTTATTATGTTTTTGTATATGCTGGAAGTCGCTCAGAGTGGCTGTGGCAACTCAAGTCAGATGGGCGGGATACAAATAAAACAACAATAACAACAACAACTGGAAGGAGTCCAGAAGCCATTTATAGAGATGGGGGAAAGCAGACCACTAAAACGTTACAGGTACAATGGTACCTCAGGTTAAGTACTTAATTCGTTCCGGAGGTCCGTTCTTAACCTGAAACTGCTCTTAACCTGAAGCACCGCTTTAGCTAATGGGGCCTCCTGCTGCCGCTGGAGCACGATTTCCATTCTCATCCTGAAGCAAAGTTCTTAACCCGGGGTACTATTTCTGGGTTAGCAGAGTCTGTAACCTGAAGCGTATGTAACCCGAGGTACCACTGTATACTAAAAGGTTTCATCCAAAAAAGTCATGTCATAAAAATTATTATTATCTGTGATAACAGGATGGGGGGCTAGAGAGAAAGACAAGGTAGAAATCCTAGAAGATACAGCAAAGAGGCAAACCTGTGGACTCACCCTTCTGTGTATTCCGCCTGCAAGAGGCCCAGGTAGGCTTCCCACTTGTTGCCCACGACTTTCCCGCAGGTGAAGCACCGAACTGGGATGATCATTGTGAGGTGGCCTAAAAAGGAATATATTTTGGGGAGGGAGAAACAGGAAGAGAAGCAAGTCACCCATGTTTCTTCCCTCTCTTCCCACCAAACCTTCCTGGGCTACCTATTCTTAGTGTTGCAGGAATTTCTCCGTTAACATTAGTTTACAGCAGGGGCCCCCAACTTGAATAAAATATTGTGGGGGTCCAGGTAAGTCCTGCCCCCACATAACTGATCACAGGATGCAGTGCACCCACA